TCTAAGATTATTTTTAAAAAAAAATAAAAAAAAATAATGAGACGAGCCTCGCCAAATAAAAATGTAAATTGCGGGGCTCTCAATAATTGGTCATAATAAATACTTAGAATTCGGGATGGACTGTTTAGTGAATTTCACTACCNAGGAGGTGTGACAACAGGTGTTGTTGATCCGCCTATGGAGATTGTTGAACCAGAATCTGAGTTGAAAAAAGAGGTCCTAAGGTTGAAAGGACAGATGGCCGAAATATACCAAGCCTGGATTAGTGGGCGTCCTCCACAATTGTTTCCCACTAACTGCACTGAAAGCCTCGTCACCATTCTACCACTGTCACGAATCCAGATTCCCGCTGTTGTTGATATCTCCCCACAACCTTTTCACACTCCACCCCCAAAAGTACCTCATATCCTGCTCCTTTGACCACTCATGTTTTTGTAGATCCTCCACCAGCTACTCTTCCTTGATCCTCTAGCGAGACTGTGTTCAAAGTCCCCGATGCTAACACTATGCTCCAGAACCAACTTTCAAGGTCTCAGATCCATACTTTTACGCTCCTTATTTTGAGCCTCCCGGTTAAACTGAAAAGCCTGCTAAGATAGTGGAGCAAGATGAGATATCCAAGAAGGTAAAAATCTAAGAGCAGTTGTCGCGCCCCCTTTTTCTAGAGCGAATTCGGGTTTATGACATTTGGAGGGACAACTCATTCCTTTTGGGAATTGGGTTTGCGTTTGCAGAGTCGCCACCTAATGATTAGGGTGCATTAGGACACCAAAAGAGTTTGATTTTAAATAACGAGAGATTAGGGTAAGGGTTTGAAATTATTCCAAGGGGAAGGTGTTAGGCACCCTCAGAATCCACTAGTGTGGTTCCCGACCAGATAATTATTGTGAATTTGGGGCGCAATTAAGATGTAGACAAATAGGGCTCAAATAAGAGGAGGTTTCATATAATGGGTTGCAAATAAACAAAGTATGGAAGAGCAAAGAAAGCTGATTTTTTTTAAAGAAGGAGTTGAAATGATAAAAGAAATACAGAAATAAGGGAAAGGGGTCCTAGGTTTATTAACAATATGGATCACTCCACACAATGCCCGGTAATCACTCCTCAATGAGGGGCTACATGTGACATTATCGAGTGGTCATCATATCCATATCTACCCTTCCCACCCCGTTAAGGTATTTAAAGCGTGGATTGGTCTCGTTTACTTATTGCATGCTATTACCCATCCCAATCCTATTAGTCCCAGAGGCATTTAGGACTACTAATCCTAAAAGAGAGGTATATTAGGCTTATTTGTAGTTTCAAAGGAAAAAACTCTAAGTCAACATACAAAACATGTATTGCAAATTGGGGATAACATATAACAAGCAGAGGCTCAGATATACCTCCTTAAACAGAGAAGCACGTAATTAGCATGACTTACACATACTGTTTAGTTCTGAATTAAAAGGCATCAAAGACGAGTGAGAGGAAATTGTTGAGATAGTTTCAGCTTATCACATAACTCAGATAAGAAGTCCGAATCAGGCCTGCCTGCTGGTTATAATTATTAATAGAAGCAGATTCAGTTTATATTTATTACCCTAGGGCTTGCCTAAGTGTTGGACAAGGATCCTATAAGCATGGTATCTACTTGATTCAGAAAGCAATGAAACAGTAAGGCTCAAAATGAACTATTTGAATGCATACTCATTAAACTTGCTAAGTGAGGGACTTAGATTATTGAAAGAGAGAGGCATAATTTAAACGAAATGATTACAAGTTCTGCAAACAATAGCAGCCATTACTATTGGTTTTATATCTAACATTGAGTGAGGCTAATCAGATTTTTTATTAGAAACTCCTATAGGCATGCTTTCTAGGCGTTACTGATTTTAAGACCTTGTAGACGTAGCGTCGAAATGCAGAAGCCTTATAGACATGATTTCTAAGTGAAGTTAAATATGTATAATTCAGAACATCCTATAGGCATAATTTCTATATGAAGTTAAATATGCAGAATCCTAAAGACATAATTTCTATATGAAGTTAAATATGCAAAATCCGATAGACATAATTTCTATATGAAGTTGAATATGCAGGAATATAGTAGTCCTATAGTCATGATTTCTACCCTTTGCGTACATAGTTACCCACCCTTTTCACTAACCATCCCCAAAGGTTTATTACAAACCAGAATAAATAAAATTACATCTAAATACAAATAAAAGTACAACCAGAGGAAGCCTGATTCTGACTTCCTCTCTGAGTTACAAGATAAACCCAAGTCAAAGACCATTTATCCAAATCCTTTCTCCAATTTCAATGTGTCAGAGTTCCCTAAGAGCCTCAATGGGACTCCAGGCAGTGCTCACACCCAAATTGTATTACCAGAATAGGGCAAGTGCAGTGTGGAAGTGCCATCCCTCAAGTGTCCAAGTTTAGAGGGAGCTCAAGGGAGTCCCAAGGCAAGGCTCACAAGAGAGGGGCAGAACTTAGAGTCTAAGAGAGTGTGCAAGTGAAGGACAGAGTTCTAAGGGGATAAAGGAGAGGAAAACATCTACAAACAAGTACACAAAAGGGGTTCAGGGGAATAGGAAGAGAGCCTATGTGCTTAGGCATTTAGCTAATTCTGGGCATGCACAACAATAGAAAGTGCTGTTATGCTTACATATCAACAAGAATACACAACATAGGATAGTGACATGGAGGTTATGATTCCAGGGGAATCAAGTTTGGGCCATAGACAATAATACTTAATACTGTCATGCCTCAAACAAACCATTAGCATCAAATACATTAGGGTAGGGGGTTTGGGATTCATAATAGGAAGGAAATTACAACATGCTAAAGTAAATTCTGAACTAAACACAAGCAATATGCAGACATGCAAGTGAAGGGATTAAAGAAACACATTGTTGTGGTTGCTGAAAACATTAATCAGGACATACAGTTTCAAAGAAGTAAAATACAGCAGTAGCAGTACTTGAAAGAAAACAGGCCACAATACAAGTAACAAGAGAGAGTGCTTTTTGAATGTGAGTGTGAGTTCAGAAGACTAAGAGTGTTCGTGTTTCTGTCAATGAAAGAGCATGGTATTTATAGTTTGAAAACAGGCAGAGAATAAGGCAAGAAAATAACCATGTACCAACTAAAATCAATCAGTAGAAGAACTACCTTTAATTAAGGAGTTCAAACTTAAACGGTAATGAACAGAAATCATTTTACGGAAAGAGATCAAATAAGCATCTTGTGCAAAGTAGACAATTAGGAGTAAATACATAGGAGTTTAATTAAGGGAAGGATCTTTGAAATACATGGTTAAACAAATAAGGTAAGAATCAATCAGTACATAGTAAATCAAGGAGTCAGAGATTCGAAATTACTGGTTCATGAATAAACCAAGTCAGAAAGGCTAAGGAAAGTTTTCAAATCAAACCAAGAAACATGGAAATTAGTAAAACAAGGAAAGAATCAATCAGACTTACACAAGGAGGTCTGAAATTAGTCAAAAATTGAAAGTCATTTTAGAGGGGAAGCTCATCATATATAAAGAGCACACAAGTATTAGGCATGCGAGGCTGAATTTAGGACAAAGAAAAGTGTCATGCAATTGCAAAATCAGTAAGTAGTGGACTATAGGAACATGGTAGTCACATAGGTCAGTTTTAGTAATTCAGCAATGGAGAATGGAGAGAGTATCAAATAGCATTCAAAGGGTCCAGAAGAAAGACCTTAGAAGAGTTAAGCAGGGATTCAGAATCATATAAAGAAGCAAAAGGTTTTGAAATTCAGTCGAGCAACAGATGAAACAACTTCAAAAACTCAAATAGGTCAAAAGAAATTAGGGTTTTAAAACCAAACAAGTTCGGAGATGAGGAACAAACAAATCACATAGCAAATAATATCACATAGCAGAGTTTTGAAAGAAACTTTGAGAAAGCATTTGAAACTTTAGGGACTTCCATGTGACTCACAATAAACCCAAGTAGCTTTCCAGCAGGAACCCCAAATGCACACTTTGCGGAATTCAGTTTCAGGTTGTACATTCCATGGGATCAGTGGCTTTCTTGGACTTAATAATAACATCATCGACGTACACCTGTATCTCCTTGTGTATCATATCGTGGAAAATGATGGTCATGGCCCTCATGTAGGTGGCCCCTGCATTCTTCAGGCCGAACGACATCATCTTGTAATAGTACATTCCCCACGACATAATGAAAACCGTTTTCTCAGCATCTTCTTCATCCATCCAGATCTGATGATTGTGAGCACGTGATTTTTGCCCTATATGAATTACTCCCATAAATTCAAAACAAAATAATTTCTTTCAGTGTTTGCAATTTTGTGGATTTTCGTGGCATTTTCTATTAATTGTTTGCATTTTTGTTTGTGCATTTTAATTAGTAAAAAATACAAAAAATATGTTGCATTTGCATTTAGGATTTAATTTAACATTTTAGGATTAATTAATTAATCAAGCTGTTTTATAAAAAGGAAAATCACAAAAATAGTTAACTTGCACTTTTAGTTTAATTTTTGATTTTTTGAGTAGTTTTCTTTCAGTTAGTGTTCCTTTATTAATTATGGAAATTACTATTTGGGTTTAATTAGTGTTTTTGAGAGGTTAATTAGGTTTTAGGATTTAATTTAGATGTTAATCTAATTTTGGGAAAAAAATGAAAAGGATGTTTGGGAAAAATTGAAAAGAAATGAATTAAAGGGAGAAGAAAGCTGAAAGTTTGGGTTTTTAATTCTAATTTCCCAAGCCCAACTATTTTTCGCCTAAATTACCCCAGATGCCCTCCAAACCCTACCCAGTTTCAGTTACACACACACAAATATAGAGCCCTAATCTCTCAAGAGCACAAACGATGCTCATTGTTCAATCATCGTTCTCATTCGAACCAAGCCCCAATTCAGTCCAAATTCAGGCGAGTGAATCCCAAATGCCTAACCCACGCATCCCCCCATCTCTCTCTTACCGTTCTAACGGTTTCTGATGCCAAGATTCCCCTCTTCTTTCACTCACTCAAAATTGGATATATCTCACGATTGGAAGGTTCTAGAGAGGGATTCTCTAGATGAGTGTGAGGCGTTGAATTGATTTCACTCAATCCGAGCCCCACATTCATCAGGGGGTTCGTTCTCAAAAGGAACTGGATCCGATTTTGAGAGGGGGATTCGAAAAAATATTTTAGAGAAAATTTGAAAGGTTTTCTTTAACTTCTGGGTTTCTATTCTCTGAATTGATTTTCTTCTTTTAAGAGTTCTTTCAAAGTTTAACAGAAGCATATACAATTTTTTATTATCTGAGTCCGACTTTGAGTTCCAAAGAGATGAAAAAAATGAATTGAAGTTCGACCTTGGTTCTGTTGTTGTTCTGTTGAGTTGCAGTTGAACCTCGCTAGTACTCGAAGGCAAAAGGCATATTATTAAGGCTGTAATTATTAACAGAAGTTCGCAACTTCAGGTTTGATTTTCGTTTTCCCCATGTAACTGTATTTTTTTTTAAAAGTGTTCTTGAGCTGTGCATTTTGTCTAGAATGGTGTGGTTCTATGATTGAATTTCTTGCTGGTGAATTTCTTCTCTGTGGTGTGATATGTTTGAGTATGTTCAGTTAGTAAAGCTGAGTTTGAGGGGTTGTCCTCTATGCTTATATGATTTAACTATTATTATGGCGTCGAGTTTTCATTTGAGTCAAATTTGGTCGTTTTCAAATGAACGTTTACTTTCAGCCTTGAGACGGTATGAACTCTTGAAGGCGTCACACTGCTATTAGTTGAAGTCGATTGGTTTAAGTCTAAATGACTGTGTTCATTGGTTCCAGTTTCATAATATGGACCAGTCCCAGTTAAATGACCAGTTCGACTGGTGCTTGTGTTGCTTTGGCTGTATACGACATGTTGATGCTCAAAGTAATATGCTCGAATCTACTATTTTATCTCAGCATGTTCGACATGAATCACTAAATAGTCTCCCTTTTCCCCTGATTCCATGACCATTTTCGCATGTTCAGCTGGTTTGAAGTTGCTAAGATTACCCCTGTTAATGTTTGCTTTTGTGATTATCCGAGTTAATCAATTGTTCTTTCTTGCTGTGGCTCTGTTTGCATTATGACCAAGTTTTCAGTTTTGAGTTATAAGTCCATTGGGTTGCTGTTTGCTGAAACTCCATTTCAGATCACTTGTAGGAAAATCAGTAGTGCCTAGCTTTCTAAACTCTGCTTCGTTTGGTATGGACAGTCGTGGGTACAAGATTTGTTTTTTTTGTGTGCATTTTCACTCGTTTGGCCAACCTCATGTTCATTCGTTTGGCCAGCCTTCCCGCTAAGAACAGTGGAGTTCCATTTCTATGCCAATTAAGATTTGGAGTTGAATCTTGTTAAGTTGATTAGCATATGTTCAACTTTTATTAAATTGAATAATCACCAAGTGGTGTTTTGCTCTGTTGTCATGGTTGATCTATTTTGCTCGATTTCATTAAGATGGAAGGTTGGTTGATTTGTTGTTTTACTAGAATTCTGACTGATTTGTGTTTTCATATGGGATTCTGGCAAGATGGTTCTATTCTCTCATTATGTTGATTTGGTCATAAAGTTTTTCAATTAAGCTAATTCTTCTTTGTTTGAATTATCATTTGAATGCTAAAACTTTTTGCCTTTCTATTAGTATTGACCCCTTTTAGTGTCCTTTGTTTTGCACGAAGGACCCTGCTCAAATTTTCTGCTTCTACTACATACAGGGCTGATAACACTAGGTATTTTAAAGGGGTCTGTAGCCTGCTGAGTATATTGTGAATGAAGTTAATGCTAGATTTTGAGGTTTCCGTACAAAGCCATTTTGATTTTGTTCGATTTATTGCAAATAGGAACTAGTAATGACTGGGGAAATCTGTTTCTTTACAAGGATGGTATTATCATAAAATTTCCCAAGAAATCTCCAGCATCGCTAAGGATGGTTGTAGTAGTGTTCACTGATTTTTGTATTTATTAGTTGAATGCCTATCCTTAGAAGTCGAGGCGTGTCACTCAGTGGATTTTCATGGCCCTCGCAAAATTGCTAACACGTAGTTGCTTTAGGCGCATTATTTTAATAACTTATTTTCCTAAATTCGGGTGCGCATTTATGTGACCCAAATCCAAATCCCAACAATGTTAAAATATGTCGGCGATCGCAGGTGCATTTATGTGACGTGGTTCAAGACATGTTTCAATAACGTTGTAATATTCCTAAAATTAAATAAAAGTGGTTTTAAAGTTAAAATCTGCACATAGGTTCAAAATGTTCTAAAATCAGATAATTAAGCCAAGTATGACAGTTGAGCGACCATGCTAGAACCATGGAACTCGGGAATGCCTAACCCCTTCTCCCGAGTTAATAGAATTCCTTACCCGGATTTCTGGTTTGCGAACTGTAATACAGAGTCAACCTTTCCTCGACTCGAGATTTTAACCGGTGACTTGGGACACCATTAAATATCCCAAGTGGCGACTCTGAATCTTTTAATAATAAATTCGTTTCGATTGTCACTTAAATTAAAAAAAAACTCCCTTATACACTTTCAGGTGTAGTAAAAAAGGAGGTGTGACAGCTCTGGCGACTCTGCTGAGGATCGAACCCAGAATCTTTGGTTCAGGGTTCAAGAATTCGAGCTTAGATGAATTGTTATATTTGGTTTTATCTGTTATCTAATTTTATTACATGTTTGGTCTTAATGTGCTAAATGTTGCTTTTTACCGCTTTGATATTATCTGAACTGTATATATAAACTGCTACGAAACCCCTTTCTTCTCTCCCCCGAGGAGTGCACGCTGGTCGTGACTTCTTTATATTAGTGTCATATCCCAAATAGAACGAGGTTCGAACAAGTTTCAAAGCCGGATGATCTTTTAGTTACTAGTACGCAGCCCCTCCTCCGCTCGAGTTGTCCGCTCGGGTAAGCCAGGTCTAGAATAATAAACCCAGGTTTTAAACCTAGAATAACTTATCCTCATGCCGGATCCCTAGTACGAACGCTTATCTGCATCATGTGCATTTGACTTTGGAGACTCAACACAGGGGTTATGTCTGTCTAGGACAAGTGTACCTGAAATGAAAAGACCATCCTGATGCATCTTACTTGGTACTTGTGCATTCATTTGCTTCGGATTTGCATGCTGACCGACTTTTGAATAATAGGAGAAAGTTGAAAAAAAAAGAAAATAACAGTGTGAGGGCTAAGTGAGATAATCACCTGTTTTTTGAAAAACCGATGTCCCAAAATATACTGAAACTCTACCGAAATTTTGAAAAAAAAAAGAAGAATTTTTTTTTGTTTTATTTTGGAAAAAAAAGAAAAAAAAGAGAGTTGGTTTTTGTTTTGTCAAAATTGCCCGAACTACGCCAGTTTGATTCTCACCGGATGTGGGATACTTAGTCAACCCCCATCGGGTCCAACTTCCTTTTTGCTAAAATAGCCCAAAAGGCATCAAAATTTTCTTACCTTGTTGGAAATAAGTAAGGTGAATCCATTCTAGTCGGAAATAGCCGAATGTCCCCAAAAGAACGCTGGAAGGCTGTTTCGCAAGAACGGCCGCTTTTGGTCTCTTTTTGACATTTTGGCCGGTTAGCAAGCACAACCTTAAAATCTTCCCCCCGGAAAATGTTGAAAGGCCGTATTTGCAAAACCGAGTTTTATTTTGAAATGAAAATTTGAAAAGAAAAGAGAGATTTGTTTTTGAGTCAAATGAGTCTTGATTTTGCTTAACCACCCTAATAAATGTATAGATGAGCACGAGTCAAAGTTTGCCAATAACAGTCATGAACAAGGTCCCTTTGGAGTTGCATATGTGGTGGGAGGATTTGGGTAAATCAGAGCAAGATAAGGTCAATCTACATTTGGGAGGCCTCACTGGGTTGTTGAAGATAAGGCCTAGAGGAGATATCATAAAGGCGTTGGTTATGTTCTGGGACCCAGCTCACAACGTCTTGCATTTCTCGGATTTTGAACTCACACCCACCATAGCAGGTTATTTGGGAAGTACTGAAGGACTGAGGCATAAGTATATGATCCTTCCAAGAGCCGTTAACTCTCACAAATTCATGAATTTGCTAAAAATAAGCAAGGGAGTCCCGTACTCCGAGTTGGAGGATGGTTTTTCCACCCTACGTTCTATATACCAGAGGTATGGGCATGTAGGAGGATTCAACAACCCGGAAAATGGGGTTTGTAGAAAAGGGAACCAAGCAAAATGGGATGAGCATAGGCGTTTTGCTTTCATAGTAGCCTTCTTAGGCCTCGTGGTGTTTCCCCGCAAAGATGGGAATATCGATCTGTGGGTGGCTAGAGTCGTCAAAGTCTTGATTACAAACGCCAAGAGCACCCTTGTCCCTATGATAGTATCTGAGATATACCGAGCTCTCACAATTTGTAAAGCTGGGGCAGATTTCTTCGAGGGATGCAATTTGCTACTACAAATGTGGATGATCAAACACCTGTGTCACCACCCTCAGTATATGAGTTATGGGTCCGCAGAGAAAAGTTGCATTGAAGAGTTCGACACAAGGATTTCAGGGTTAAAGTTCCCAGAGGGGTTTGGAGATTGGGTATCCCGCCTTCTCTCCATCACTGTGGGGAAAATAGAATGGACACTAGGTTGGCTTCCTGTTGAAGAAATTGTGTATATGCCCGCCGCCGGTCCTTACTTCTTCCTAATGGGTCTCCGAGGCATTCAGCCTTATGCTCCATACCGGGTGATGAGACAGTTGGGAAGGTGTCAGGTGATACACCCAGATGAAGATCTTAGTGTTTATGCGGTCGAGGTTAGCTCTGACGGCCAATTTCATGAAGAAACAGTACGTTCTATTTGGAACGAATGCCAGTATTTGACAACAAACACTCGAGTGTGTGACCTATCTAGAGGCGAGGTCTTACCCGCCTATCTTGCGTGGTATAGAAAGAAGAACGCCTCAAGGGCTGAACCTGAAAGACCTACCAAGAAGCCTCAGATTCAGGGATTCGTTGAGGCATCGCAAGAACAGTGGGTTTGGTTGGCCAAGGAGAATGAGTACAGGGACACAATAGGAAAACTGGAAAAGCAAGTTAGGGATCTCCAATTCGAGAATGGTTTGCAAGCCGCAGCGAATGAGGGTGAAAAAAAAGGCTAGCCAAAGAAAATGAGGCCCTTCGATCCCAAATTCGGGAAATGAAAATAGCAGCTGAAAATCCCGCCAGAAGTGCAAAAGATGAAAAGCTTATAAAGAACCTTAGGCAGAAGGTGAGTGAGTATGGATTCGATTTGAACAAGGCAGAGGGCGAATTAGCAAGGGCTCGAACAAAGCTAGCTAAAAATGCGGAGGAACGAAAGCGCTTGGTTAAGCAATTAAAAGAGAAATATGATAATGAGGTTGTGGGATTGAAGAAAAGGGTCAGCATCTTTGAGAACAAAATGATCAAGCAGGAAAAAGACTTTAAGGCAGAAAAGGAACACTGTTACGCAACAATGGCACAGTTAGAGAGAGATTTGCTACAGCTTCAAGAATAGAATCATGTATCCGAACAAACTTTGGAAGCCAGGGCCCAGCAGATTGGGTGTTTGTTGTAAGAAAAGGATGTCATAAGAGAGAAAGTCAGAAGGATTGCCGACTGCATCGCAATGAAGTGCAGTAGTTGTGAGGATATGACTAGATCCATGTTATTTGCCACTGTGATGACCTTTGTCTGCCAGATAATGGAAGATCTCTACCACCTCCAAGGGGATTTAGCGTGTAGGCCCGTGGCGAGACCGAACAATGTCCCGCGGGCCCTAGGAGCAGTTGAGGCATTAATGTATTCATGATTTTCATTGGAGTCTGTTAGTCTGTTTGCGAGTCTGTATTTTCTTTTATTGGAGCTGTTAGTTTGTTTTCCAGTCTGGGTTATCATCTTTCTGCTAGAGTCTGTTAGTCTGTTTTGAGTCCGTTGGAGTCTGTTAATCTCCCTTTTCGAGTCCTTTAGTTTTATAATCTGGTAGGATGAGTCATTGTAATCAAAACTGTTTTATTTTATGGGAAAATATTTAAAAATCCCAAAAATGTTTTTGTTTACTTCTACATTTATCTTCCAGAACTACGCTCGGTCTGATTCATGCGGGGTCATGATACGTAGGCAATCTCTATAGGATTTGACCATAACCAAAAGAAAGAAAAAGAGTGATAAAAAAAAGAGGAAAAGAAAAAGAGAGAAAAATAAGAGGGAAAAACAAAAGAAAAGAGAAAGAAAATAAGAAACTGTGGAAAAAGAGCAATGGCAAAACAAGAGAGAGAAGTACGAGAGAATAAAAAAAAAGAGCAAAGGCAAGAATGAAAAGAAAAAAGAGAGAAAAAGGGAAGTTGCAAATAGAAATAAGGAAAAGCCGGGATGACGCAAGCAACCAATCAAATGCATAATAAAAATGGTTAACTAGTTAGGTGCATTCATTCCCCAAATGTGTGGTTGCCTATCTGTTAAACCCTAATCGCTAACAAATTTGTTATTGATGAAA